AGTCCTGAAGCAATAACTTGCACTTAGAGGGAGAGAAACGCATTACAAACATTCTGGCATCGTTGCTCAGTGCTACCAAGACTGAATTTTATCAACACCCACGACTATAGTCGGATGTCTGTTCTACAATCTGTCGAAAGGAGAATATTTAGCCTACATATCCACGTTTACGTCTAGAATCCGCCTGATTTTCTCGGGTTCGCTCTTCGCGAGCTCTAGTTAGACGTCGAAGCATTACTAAGGCTAATATTTTAGACACTATATTAGTTAAAGTGATTCTTCTGTGATTGTCACAACAGAATTTTTCCTTTCTTATAAACCAGGACGATCAGCAATCGAGGTCAGGCAGATAGGAATATATCCAGTTCCTAGATTTTAGCTACACTTCCAGTTAATTTAACTGTTAAAACTGTGTGATGACTGCCCTCATACTTTAATAGCACTCAACACCACTTCATTCATACTATAAAACTGGACCAGGAGTTGATCCGTCAAGCTCTGCTACTCTCCCTAGCTTAAAATTACTTGTAGCTTTTCCAACCTTATTAAGAGTTAGAAGGCTTAGATTAGTTTGCCATTCAGGTTTATTTATTTGAACACATAAATATTGGTACAAGAGGGCACCATAATTGTGTGTGGGCGCTGTGATACTGCCCGGGTGCCCAGACCGAAACAGATGGTTTTCTTAGAGGGTCACACCCCGAGCCTCGGACCTAAAGGCCTGATCCACAAGGCAGTGGAGCGTCGTGAGGAGATGCAGTCGCATGGTAGCCGGTGACCAACGACTGGTTCATACGCCATTTTCCCTCTCAGGATACTGAAGCCCATGTGCACCATTGGTTTGGATCCGGTTAAAGCGCCGGACATTCGCTTTTCGTCCTCTCATTTTCGTAAACAACACCTCCGCCACGAGAAGGCAGTGAGTAGGACTTCCCTGGTAGAGGCCATTCAGGTTGCTTGAAGATAGTGAGTAACTGAAGTGTGGCTGAAGGCCAGTCGGACTGTTCCTTAAAGTATTCTGCCCATCAGTTTAGTTTCCTAGACTGAACATGAGTAACAGTTCCGTCTTTTTCCAAGGTAGTTTCATTAGCAACCGGATTTTCAATACTCGTTTCCTTGATAAGACTGAAAAAAGTTATCTACTGTTACCTATTATTGATGCCTTTGTCACCAACCACTTATAACGATCATTACGTAGACTTTTTATCAAATTACATTCAAGTTGCCTTCGCTCCTCATCGAGTTCAGAGCCAGGCGGGGTGAATTTCGGAGCATCTCCGTCAGTCAGTAACAACGTAGAACTTCGTACGTACGTACATCTACCTGTTCTATAAACGCCACTGAAATCCAGTTAATTTTCCTACCCTTTAAGTCTATGTTACTAGTGAACATCACTGCTATTTCCACAGCTTTTCGGGTATCTAATCACAATCTAAAGCGAAAAAACACTATTAAAGTCAACGTAGTGTCCAGAATAAATCTATATTCGTAAAAACTGCTGCATTGGTCAGACATAAGGAATTCAAGAAAATAAAAGTAACAGCGTCAAATTCATATTGGAATTACTGATAGTAGAAGAGTTAGGCACCGTTTGAGAAAGAACAAACTAGAACAACATTTATGAAGTCATATTCAGATGCGAAATTTATAGAATCACACTGAGATTGCGTTATACATTACCTCACAACGGCTAATAACACTACCAAGCTAATTGAAGTATTCAACGCGTTCTAATAATCTACTACGCAGATAAGTTCTTAATTAACATTCTGTATTCAGATGGTTAGAAACGCATTACAAAACACTTTCGGACTGTTAACCACGGTATTTGAAAGGCTGAGATTAATAAACTTGTCCTTCGAACAAAACTGTTGCCTGCACACTCCAAGTACGTGAAACCCCTGGTAGTTCAGGAGCGATCTGAAACAACAACACAACAGTCAGAACTGACAACTTCCTCCGAAGTGAGAACGCGGCGTACTGGCAAAACAGAGATATATTTTAAAATTGAAAGACGCTGTCATATTACAAAAAGGGAAAACTTATTACAAAATAGTTTTATCTATCGTTCTGCAGGTTCAGCTTCCGCTGAGCTTGTTCCTCTTTTCCCGGTGCGTTTACTCTTTGTTGCCCGGCAATACGAAAAACAGACTCGTGTTAGCAACATCACATGTAATGATTTTTGCTACTGTTACATTACCCCCTCTCTCCAAGAGGCACTATCCTCAGTGCCCGGTTGTGGACATGGGTACGCTACCCCGCCTTCTGACGGTAGTCGGGAGTTGGCAAACTAGGGGTGTCCATGGCAAAACGTGACGAAAACTACGATGAACCACCGGTCATTCCAGGAAACGTAGCAGCCAGCACAACGTCCTGTCAACCGCCACTGTTAGGAGTATCATCAGACTATGATATCTGGAAAATCAGAGTAATGACATGCCTACGTAGAGTCCCAACATCGGAACACTTCGACTACCTTCTGTCCTACTTAAATGACGAAGCAGCGAAACGAGCGACAGCTAACGGCTTTACTGCGTGCAATTCACCATCTCAAAATTGGAAGATTTTAGATTAATGTTTTTCGTTGAAGGTGGATACCCAGCAGACGGCCATCCAATTTTTATCGCGCCACCAGAAACCGCATGAAAGCCCCATCGATTATCTTCACTCATTACGGCAGATAGCAACTCAAGCATTCCCTAGTCTGGACATCTCGGGGCGAGAAGAAATTATACGCTCTCGTTTTATCGAAGGACTGCTGCCTGACGCATTAAGAGAACATCTCCTACGAGTGCCACCGGTTGACACAGCCGATTTGAAACGAACAGCACTTCGGTTTTTGACTGCAGAAAAACTGTCAGTTCCATCGGGGACCTATCGACCAACAGTGATGACTGTGGAAGCCACTGAGTCTAGTCGACAAGACAGTTTTCAAAGTGCAGCGGCTATTAGAGAGTCCCCTGGCAGCCGACTTCCATGTGGAACAGACGGTTATCAGGGAACAACTATCGGGACCGTGAAATAGAATGCTTCTACTGCAGATGGTTTGGCAAAAATGCCAAGATATGCGATCATAATCGCGTGCAGAACAGAGGTAAGCCATATCGTTGTCATCTACTTTCTTGTTATGTTAACCGTGTATGCCCCGTTACTATTAAAGGTAGAGTGCACAATACTGAGAATGATATACTGTTAGATACGAGAGCTTTAGTATCCCTTATCACGTAAGACCTATTGCAGAAACTCAACCACAAGACTCGGCGGAAACAATGCTCCTCTGCATTAATTACGGCGAGCGGAGACCCCTTGAAAGCGTGTTCTAAGATAGGGTTAGAGTTAACGATAGACAAGAATCCTTTTCAACATTAATTCTTGGTTTGCTCCACACTGACTTGGGACGTAATACTCGGGGTTGATTTCTTGTTAAAATACCAGGTTTCTAGGCACATGGATAGGTCGGAAGTGAAAATTGGTGGGGCTGCAGTGCACCTACAACTTCATGAAATGCCAACTGAACCCGTAGCTCATGTGGGGATTTCTGAAATTGTACGTCGGGTACAAGATAATCGAACAATAAGCGAAGACGACCGTCGAGTGTAGATTACCGACGTCTTAATGCTATAACTAAACGTGATTCCTTCCCACTTCCGCGGATAGACGCTACATTAGATGCCATGAAAGGCGCTTGCTGGCCTTCGACTGTAGACTTAGCGTCAGGGTATTGGTGGGTGGAAGTTCGACCTCAAGATAGGAAGAAAACAGCATTCATAGTACCCAATGGTCTATATGAATTTCAAGTGATGCCTTTTGAGCTAACGAATGCCCCAGCTACATTTCAAAGGTTGATGCAAACAGTCTTACAGAATATAGTACCACACAAATGCCTGATATATCTTGATGACATCATTGTTTGTGGCAGCACTCCCAAACAACACAATGCTAACTTGAAAGCGGTTCTTCAGCACCTTAGACCAGATGACCAGCCTCACTTCTTATTGTTCTCCAGATTTTTACGTCATCTGCAAACAATAACGTCGATGATCTGAGCGACAGCGGTAACTCATTAACGTAGAGAAGGACGAACGGAAGGCCTAAGATGGTACCTTGTGGTACACCGCTTTTGACCGGCTTCCAGTCGGATAGCGTTCCATTGACCCTCACTCTCTGCCTGCGGTCACATACGATATTTCCTATCCACTCATGCACAATACCTATTATTCCGAAGCTCGTGAGCTTCTGCATAAGACCTAAGTGTGAAACCTTGTCAAATTCTTTGCTAAAATCTACGAATATCACATTGACAGACAGACCGTGATCTAGGGCTGCTATCTAATCCTCCCTCGCAATAAGTAAGTTAGTCAAGCATGAACGCTTATTACGAAATCCATGTTGCCCAGGAGCTAACGGATTGCGTGAATCTATGTGGCTTAGCAACCTGACCCGAATTATATTTTCAAGTAACTTAACGACTATGCTGGTTAGACTGACAGGCCGGTAGTTAGATACTATCTGTCTCTGACCGTCCTTAAATATAGGACTGACTATAGCGTCCTTCCAATCTCTAGGGAGTTGAGCGAGTGAAAGGGACATGTTGAAGAGTGTCGCAAGCGGTTTTGAAATAATATCCGCAAGGAATAACATGGGCCGTAGGCCTTCTGTCCTTACTACACAAATCTGAATATGTATATGTTTAGGACTAAGGATAGTATCTTACTATGATTTGCCATATTTTTCGTCTTCCATGTTCATCGATACTACACCTAGGTTCCTGCCTGGAGGTATTGGTGATCCACTGATTCTAGATTCGGAAGCCCGTTAAGCGAAAGCTTCTTCTGTTCCGTCCAAAACCATTTGAACCATTTGATTTATCTAAAACGAGGCTGGACCTTCACAGTGTTACAAAATACAAGGGTTAATATATGTTGATCGAGCTCCTGTCCTTATTACTGTGGATTGATCCTTATTCCTTCAAACTACTACTAAATTAACTCAAGGTTGTTAATTGAACAGCAATTTGAAGTTGAGTCAGGTGTGTGGATTATTCTGGTGGTTTACGCGTACAGATTATTTTAATAGTTTCTTTTCTTGATTTATACACTTTCAAATATAAAAGTAAGAATGGGTCTTTTGATACGTTAGTTTTATGCCAAAAATGTAACTGGAGAAGTCATGTACGAAATTTTCTCTATGTCAGTAAAGACGAAAAAATAATTTGTTCGGTTTCTGTAAAGTAGTATTGTAGTTCTTGCAAAAGTTGTTCGTTTGGATGCAATACAAGGGGAGATAACCACTCGTCTTCCTCATCTACCTGATCAGTATCACATATGCACCTTTTTTCCTCAATCTCAACCATATTCGTTTTCTTAGTGGTTAAAATTATCGGACGTCTTGAAATTTCATGCAAATTTTTGTATACTTGTATAAGGTGCGGCAACCTGAACTTGAGTCACACCATATGAGTTCGTATTCCAATGTTTCTTCCTGACTTTGCATATCCTTTATGGTCATCTAGTGTCCATATTTGTGATACCTTTTTTCAGACAACCAGGCTATCTGGCCAGACATTCATCATTCTGAGGAATTGCAATGTTTTCTGAAAGAAATTAAATAGTCTAGTAAATCTCGTACTTGTAGTTCAGGGATAAAGTTGAAATCAAGTAATTTCACTAATGGTGCATATGTCGGATCAGGTGGATGATGTAATACTTCCTGGGTATTAACACTAAAGGGTAGCGGGTGACTAGCACTTTACACATATATAGTGATTAGTTTTAGATTATATCACTAATCGGTCTTATCTCAGCCTCTTGTTCACTTGCAGCATTACTATGACACTTTTATATTTGTAAGTTGTAAATCCAAAATATCTTTAGAAAAGGGGCACATTAAAACAGACCAAAAAGGGTTGAATTACTGTTTTACGTATTCAAAGTAAGGAACCCGTTTCAGTTTATCTAGTCAGCAGCAGAAAAATAAACAAGTGGTCTGTTCACAGTAAAGCCTACGAAATACTTCCAACAATACTGACAGATTTTCTAGTTATGTGATACACATATCTACCCTTAGGTTTTGAACAAAATGCGGGGACTTATGCAACAATATGGTGAACGGTTCTAGTGGAGACACATTATCAGTGTTCGAAGTTAAGAGTAAGTCAAACATTAGAATCATTTTTAAGAAATGCAATTCAAAATACTTTCCATATTCACAAGATTTTGTTTCCTGTTTGTTGACATAGTTACAGTATCTGATGTGTTAGGAAGAATTCTTGAAGCATACACACATATATTTATGTAATGTCGACTGTCTACGTAGATCGTGGGATGGCCTGGTGTACAGTGGTTGGTAAGTTTTTGATACATTTTTGAGTGATTTATGAGTGATCTTTCTACATATCAGCCATAGAATTAGTGTAAAACGTATTCTACAAATTAATTATGAGTTTTGTTGGGATTTGACATTCAATGATTAAAATACTCAAATTTTAATTGTCGAGTTGCGAGATCGAACCTTAATTCACCTACTTCGAGTAGGACAACTGGGTAGTATGACCAGGATTCATGTGTTTCAAGTACATGTACATAAATCCATAGTATATATATATATATATATATATATATATATATATATATATATATATATATATAAGCATGTGTCAAAGTTTAAACGGCACATATCACGACATACCTAATTCACTTTCTTTAGTTTAGATAAACTATGATGTACGGGCTTACCAATTTGTCTGAATGCTACTAAATATTAAGAAACATAACCGATTTCGTCAAGGATGTTTTGTGCTTAAGAAGGAAATCAAAGACCATCTTCCTAATAAAGGGTGTTTATTAAGACTCGTATTAAATTAAACAGATAGTGTTTATTGGTGTCTACCTGGTATATCTACTGTCACTATTTTTGTTAAGAATGACCATTTATATAATGATGAAGCGTTTTTACTTTGACCGTTGTTACACAGACGGTCGAAACATATTTTTCATGTCTTCCGTGAAATTTCTTGATACATTACTTTTATTGAATTAGGAATAAGTCGGGATAACATATGAAGATCAGAATAATGCCCTGTACTAGTCTTTAATGTTTATGATCGCTCTTTTTCATATTTTTCCTTATTCTCAAAACGTTAAAAATGAGTGGCTATGGGTTTTAAATGTCATAGGTGAGCGTGGATGAAAACAGTCAAAGCTACTCACTTTTTCACCTTTTAGCTCAAGGCTATTTATTTACCACTACTTGATCTCAATTTATTTTTTTTGCTTTACATCATTTCGTGCCTGCTATACAGCATATTTGTATTTGAGAAAAATAGTAAGTTTCCTTAGTCAGTTTCACTTTTCAATTACGTCTACAATTGACGTAGTATCTCAGTGATGCACATCAACTAATGTTTTGTTTTGAAAAGAATCGGTGAATTTAAAGACCCATCTTTTAGAAATCGACATTAAATGAACAATTCAGTTTTCATTATCAAATTGTTTTTAAGAAGGGATATTTTATTCTCTGAGAAACCGAATACTTTAACCTTCTATTTAAAATTAAAATCTATTCACTAGATATTGTAAGAGGCAAATTAAAATAATCGGTTGGTAGTCGTAAGAATTACATATGTTTGGTGGCCCATTGATGATAATAGTCAAACCTCTGTTCTTCTTGAATCTGTGTAAAGGAAAATTCATTTCTGTATTCAACTTTAATAGTTACAGTAAATAAAGTTTTGGATGGTGGATTGTGAAGAGAATATTCTACACAACTACTTTACCAATCACTTTTACTAATCATTCAATGTTGATTGCATCGTTCAGGGTCGAACTATTATTTCTAATGGCAACTTTTTCTTGCGTCCATAATTTCCCTAGCTCCTTTAGAGTTAGCTGTAGATCACATGATAGCTGTATTTTTCAGTATTTAATTGGTAGCAGTCACAGTTCCAGACAGTCCATTCAGTACAATTCAGATAAATTGTTATTTATACCTTGGTGTAACATATTTAATTAGTACATCATGAGTGAAATGACAGATTAGTAAAAGAAATATATTTTGTTCTATTTATTAGTAAGTATTTTGGCTTTTCATGATAGCCAAAAGGCTTACGCACGCACCATTCAGTTTGTTACATGCTGATGAAATGAAGTGCGATAGGTTCCTCATAGTTTTTAATTATGAATAAATTGAATGTTTTATTCACAGTAATTCAGAAAAATCTACTGAAATGTTCGGCAGATGTCAAAAGATAAATAAACATGAAGTCAATCTCACACAATCGTCCTCGAATACTATAAGAAATCGAAGATGATAACTCATTTCCTAAATCCAACGGTTTTCAGAAAGGAAAATGTTATCAACCCTATCTTTGCATTGTTCTGTAATTCATTCGTCAAAGTGATTTCCTCCTAACCAGTGGGCACCAAGTTCAAACTACTCTTGCGGTTTGTGTTGCGGTACGGTACCACTTTACTTCATACAGATAATGGGACTCAAAATCAAGTGCATAAACCTGTACTTAGTAAATAGTTTGTATAAATCAGTATATTTAACTACTAAACCCTTTAAGCAGCATTACCAAGTGTAAACACGACGACTCAACCATAAATTTTTTATGTTTTGGACAAAGTCATATTCTAGTTCAAGAAATTTTTATTTCTCAATTGTTTTTTGTTTTGTTTATTAATAACAGGTGGCTTTGTTGCCAACGTTCTGTTAGGGGGTTTAGGCAAATCTTATAGTTTGGTTATGGAAGCGTTTCAAGAAGTATTTGAATGTGGTTCTGCCTACTTGTTTTTAGCTGGTGGTTTAATCTATACACTTATGTATTGTCTGTGTAAGTTTCTATGCATTTGAGATATTATGTTTATATTTTTGAAATCAATTAAATATTTCTATAAATAATATTTAAATACTATCAAATTACATTTGGCGGGATTCTAAGAAATTTATTTTGGGAACTTTAAATGAAGTTATTGAGCAATGGTAACAATGGTATATATAAGGTTAGCGACTTCGAACTGCATGACTCAAAATCATTTGCAGTAGCACAGTTGCATCCATCCTTTGTCTCCCCCAGAATCCTGAGATCCTAAATCCCTCTTGACTTTTTTGTTTTTGTTTCTCTAATTTATATTTACTTTTCGGTTGTGTGTTCGGTGCCTAATCTTTCCCATTACCACTGATACTGTTACTACCTCTACTATTCTGAGATTTGACCTAAAAACTTCATCTCTCTGTGTTAACGGGGTAAGGCAACTCGAACCGATGTATATACATATAGGTCTTACGTTGTAACTGACTGACTTTGTGTAGGTCTTCTTACATTAAAGTTCGTGTAATAAGTTGGAGCTGAATATTATTTAATTACCAAGTTATGTCTTTCGAAATACATATTTGAACGCTCCCCTGCTTAGCTTTCTAAAGGACCACAGAAGTCAGTTTAAAGCTCAACCTTGAGGTATTGCTCATCCTGCTTACCGAATAATACAATATATAATATCTCTAGAATTTTAGCGTAGTTTAGTTATGTTTTCACACCTAACAATTTTAAGATGGTGCTCTAGATTCGGTCACCCAGTTTTACTATAACTAGTGAAGTACATGTGAATATATTGAATTAGAAAGTTACATCATCTCTAGTACCTTGCCTTTAAAATTGTTTCATCGTTATCATGTTTGATTAATGTTTACCAACATACTCAACTCAGTATAGTCTGTTAGTTATGTAATCCCCTTCTAAGCGGGTATAAAACTCATCAGTGTCATTAATTAAAAAAAATTAATCTAGGTGTTGTCATTTCTCTTAAACAATATCAAGATGTACTAGTTTCTTCAACTTATATTTTTAACATTTGGTGGAACCACTAGTTTGTCGAATTTTTAGCTAATAAAGGCTTCGACATGCATAACAAGGTGACCAATGGTCAGTCAGTCAGTCAGTAACAACGTAGAACTTCGTACGTACGTACATCAGTTCGAGTTGCCACACCACATTAGCACAGAGGGTTGTAAAAATATACCAGCAATGTGTGTGAGAGATTTCACATGTTCAATTACTGTTTCATTAGGTATTTAATGTTGGGTTAAGTATTCAAGTGCCTGCATAATTCAAAAACCAAGTCTTTTAAGTAACCTATATCAATATGGGATGAAGTCATAGAATGACTATCAAGCAATAAAAAAATAGCATAGAATGATTTGTTTCCTAAAAAATATTGTTTCTCGAAATTGAGTTAAGTAATTTATTAGTTTTAGTCAAATTTATAGCTTTCTTCCAATCTACTCCTACACCATAAAACATCGCACGTCGTGGCAGTCTGTGGTTGGACATAAATAACACATGTCCCAGCCATCTCAACTGATGAAGTTTTACTAATTCATCAATGGATTTGTCATCCTTAGCTAGTACCCGTTTCCTAACAACTGCATTACTTACTCGGTGGTCCCAGAATATACGAGAAATGCTTCGAAGACACCTATAATCGAATACTAGTAACCTACGAATATCCTCTACTCTAACCGGCCATGTTTCACTGGCTTTTAAGCACCGGTTCTTGAACCAACTATTTCCGCATACTTCATACAGCTTTGAACCACATTCAACTATCTCGAATCCTGTATTGACGAAATGTTTCTGGGAATTAAAAGAACATGATAATGAGATGATATTTGAAAAGTATAAATAAATTTATAAACAGCGTAGGAATACTATAACAGAGCCTGTTGTAGTTATGGTGATGATTTTATAGATCCAAATTGATTCTAGGTAGCTGGATGTTCATGACTATTTGGTAATTTTACTCACTTCACCTTGTACAGCTGACTGGCTTAATTAAAATAGGATTAGCTTCAGTTCAAAAACATTGATTTTTTATACGAGTCTTAACTGAACTGCCAGCTGGTCGGTCAGTGTAGAGGTGATCGTAATCACTGGTTAAATACGGTAGTATTACTTAAAATTAATCAATGGCGCATATATAATTGGTTTATACTTTCTTCCTAACCTATATTGTTCCATATCTTGAATGTTTATAACTACTTGATAAATTTACTCACGAATATCCTTTTCTACTAAGGACCATGTATCACTACAATATTGTAACACAGAGAGAACCTTTTTACAGTATACTCACGCCTTGGTTGGTAGATGGATATTTCTCCTACTGTATAGGTGACGCAAGTTGTCAAAAGTTATGGGAGATATCCGTTCAACATATTTCTTGTCTATGTCGGACACACTAATCTTTATCAATGTCTCTCTTTGGAATATGTTCTTTTCAATTTCTTTTTAACTTTTATTTAGTTTTCTACTTCGTAAATCAACTTGTATGTAATGACTGAGTTGCATTATTTCTACCAGAGAAATTAAGGAAAGAATTTTTTGTCTTACCTAGTTGCGTGTAGCCAGTAGTTACGTCTTATTCCCAGTTCAATTGTTGGTCCTGCTTAATATGATGTAGTAGTGAATTTATTCATTTGCCAATAGCATTAGTTTTCTGATATTTTAGTAGTTTAATTATTCTAGTCTTTCAATGTATGTTAGTTATCAGTCGATGTTAGCCTTAAAATATACCTACTGATGCAAACAACTTTTCTTGTATGCTATGGATGCTAAAGGAGGTGGTAGTATGTTTAATATAGAAATTGGTATAGTTTATATAATTATTATGTTTGTGTTGATGTATTCAATTTTAATACATTTCGCTTGTTTATAAATTGTCATTTACTGTTTGTTTTTTTTCTAGCTCTCGTTAACCACTTAATTTCAAAACGATATGGTAGTCGACCTGTTGTAATGGTTGGTGCTTTTGGCTCTTGTATAAGTTTATTAATTGCATCATGTTCACCGAATCTTGCACTTTGGGTTGTTGCTGTTGGTTTTGGAATAGGTACTTCATCTTGACTTTAAGTTTCTTTTTTTTTTCTCGTTTACCATTGAAAGACTACTGAGTATTGACTAATGTCATATCTGTATGGTCCTTTAAAACTGAAAGAATTCTATCGATCAAGTTGCAATGTGATAACTAGTCGAAAGGACTCAATGTAGTATGGAATATATTGAGATGTTAACCAGTTGGAGGTAGTCAACAGAAAATTCTACTTGACCTAGATTCCGGTCTGGTTGGTACTTGACATCTTGAGGAAGCTGACGCTCCCTGTAAGACTAATCAGTTGTAAATATTTCAGTCCTACAGATGGCTAGTCAGGATTTGAATAGCTCAATCGTAATATCTGGGAGTTTTAAGCTAGGTGACACTAATTTGAATCCTACAAGGAGGATTAGTTGCTTAAAGATTCCAGGTGTCTTGTTGATGAGTGCTAACCAACGTGATACCCAAGTACAGTGTTGGTTTTCTCCATCGTTAGTAGTCCATATATATATATTTTGAATAACGGAAAATGTGATATCGTAATCATTTTACAAGTGATAAAATGAAAGTACTGGGAGTAGTGAATGCTTTGTTGGTTGTTTTTTTTTTAATTAACAAGTATTGTTGATTTTGTGTCATTCTACTTTTTGGCTAGACTATATGCCAGTCTTTCTAACTTCTAGTTAATTAGTACACACAATGTTTGCAATGTTGGTTGTTGACTAGTTGATTGATATTTAAGCTCGTTATTTACCGATTAAATCACGGGTTCAAATACCGCATAATCGAAATGTTTTAGCACTTAACAATGCCTATCTCATAGGTGCATGATTATATCTGATCAATTAAGAAAATTACCGTTCATTTGTATTTATTTTTTAATGCTTAGTTTGTTAATAAGTGAAGGCTCCGTGGAAAATCATTTCCACTGTTTTCGTATTTAGATACTTCAATTTTCAACTTTCAGAGTTTCTTTGTAATCCAAGTTTTTAATCATTTGAATAGGATAGAGTTTTTATTCCTTATGTGAGGCCGATAAATTGTGTCCACCTCAAATATTGTTTACTTATATACACCACCCACCAGTACTCTCCATTGAACCTTGTCCTATACAATCCTTTCCAGCTTTTCCCAGTTGTTATTCTTTTTTTTCTTCTTCATATCTGCTTCTATTTCCCAACGTAATGTTTTCCTCTTTTCCGCTTCCCTTTAGGATTCCAAATATCGGTTGTTTGTTTGTTTTTGATTGAGATCTTGAACTAATTGATGTTAGACCATCACAATTGAAAACCTGAAAGCACTGGACGGCCGTTTCGTGGGACTCCTCAGCAGTGCGCATCCACGATCCCGCGAGCGGGATTCGAACCCAGGGCCTTCGGTCTCGCGCGCGAACGCTTAACCAACTGGACCACCGAGCCGGCATCCTTGTCGGGTAGAGACAGTTATCTACTTAAGTACAATGGAAGTTGGTCGCGCAATTTCGTGGATTGGTTGATGTTAGAAACTATCACCATTGGATGCCGGCTCAGTGGTCCAGTTGGTTAAGCGTTCGTGCGCGAGACCGAAGGCCCTGGGTTCGAATCCCGCTCGCGGGATCGTGGGTGCGCACTGCTGAGGAGTCCCACAATAGGACGAAACGGCCGTCCAGTGCTTCCAGGTTTTCAATTGTGATGGTCTAACATCAATTGGTTCAAGATCTCAATCAAAAACTTATTAATCTCCACAACCCCTATACTAGTTTGTTTGTTTGTTTGTTAACTATGACCATGTTGTGTAATATTGTCTAGGTTATTATAAATAATTTATTTTTGTAATTTTATAACTGAAAATATAATTCTATATTAGGCGTAAACTATTCATAATCTCTCTTTTTCATTATTTTTAATCTTAAGATATATGTAATTCATAATAAGTCCACAATTTACTGATTAATCAAAACTATATTACTGATATTGTTTAACATGAGATTATTGATTTGGGAGTAAATTGTTTTTTTTATAGCTGGCCTGTAATCACCATAGGGATAAATATGCATTAGCTCAAGTTATCACGCCATATCAATACGACAAGATGAAATCGACAAAATAGGGTGACAAGAATGTCAGCGATAATAAAGAGGCCTAATTCTAATCTAAAATGTAGGTAATAATTTTGAAAACTGAAATTTAGAATGAGATATAGAGTAGATGCATCTTCACCATTGGTTACGGTTTTCACGTGAACACCATTAAAGTACTCCACACCAACCAACATAGTTCAGACTAACAGTGATTTAATGGATTGATACCACACTTACCTTGGGATCGAGTTAGCCAGTAGTTGAGCACACTTAATCCATGTCGGTATGGCTCAGAATAGAAATCAATGGCGATCTTACTGTATATGTTGTTTAGTGCTCAAACGTACCAGAAATTGTTGAATATTATAGATATAATATAAAGTAATGAAAAGAAAAAGAAACGGATTCCAAACATTTTTGGATTATTACTAAGGGGGTCCAAAAGACTATATCTTGTTGACATCTTCATCAAGACAAACTAGGTCACATGTGTACTCTAAGTCAATGTATGAACTCCCTGAATAGGAATTAACTTATTCGCATCCGATGATGTTTACAGATAATTGTACATTATATCACGTTTAAATCAGTCGTTAAATAAATTCTTGAGCAAGTAATATTTTGATATGACCATTATAATGACACTACTTACCGAACCTAATATATGTTGTCTATCAACATTAGAGTTGGTGTTCTTTCCGGATATCTATTCAAAGTGTAGAAGAGAGATCATGTATAAGCTAATCAGTACAATTGGCGTTAACGGAAACCATGTGTGATCGTATACTGAAAAAAAAAGTTCTCATAGGATCCATGTACATTTTCTCACTTTCATTTTGCATAAGTTCTATTGCTTTAGTATCAAAGGAATTATCACTTACCTATCATCTGATTATACATAAACTAATTAACTTTACTTGTGTCTTTCCACAGGCGCGTCCTTGTCATGCATTTATTTCACAGTGTTCGCTGTTGTTGGATGTTGTTTCAAACGATATTTAGGTTTAGCAAATGGAATTAGTGTTGCCGGTGTTAGTGTTGGTCAAATGGTATTTCCTTCATTGATCACTACTTTGAATACTACTTATGGTGCTAGAGGTGGAGGAGTAATTATGGCTGCAATTTGTTTACATTTGTTAATCACAGCTGCATTAATGCCTCGTCATATCATTGATCCAGATGCACCTGTTGTGCCAGCAGAAAAAGTTGAAACAGGCAAATCAAAACGGAAATCTTGCAAGTCACAATCAAAATCTAAAGAAGACAAACAATTAATAGCTTCAGAAGATCTATTGAATGCTGATAAACAGTCGACAGCCATTGATTCAGATAAGAAGTTACAAAGTCCCGTAGATGAGTTCTTCTCGAAATTAGACAATCAAAGGTAAGTTCTTTAAATTCTAGTGTTCATTTGCTGCTGCTTATTTCCCCTGTATTTCGAATAGTTTCCTAGCTTTTTTGCGTTGTGGTCATTAGTCAAAGTAATGCATTGGTGTACTTTGTTCGGTGTCAGGGTGATTTCAGGTAATTGGAAGAAAGGGTTAGATCTAGGTTTAGCGTTACCTATCACTCGTCAGGCATATCAATTACTGTAAACATTCCAGTCCTGCTATAGGTCAGTTGCTATCCAGATAGCTTCCTAATAACGTCTTTACTTTGACACAATGAAAAGAGTTAGAGTTCTGGGGGTGAAGATCATCCTGCTCAACGTTGTAGATACGCATTGAATCTTGAAATCGATTTGTAAGCATGTTTGTTCGCCTCTTTTAGTTATAAATAGAGCACTAATTTGGCTAGTATTATGTGAACACTGAATTTAACAGAAGGTTGTGAAGAGTATTATGTTTTTGTAACACCATTACGTAGTAGTTCAACTAAATCCCAATTAAATGTACTCTCATTTCTGTTCACTACTTGTCTTCTATTTATTTTCAGAGATGTAGTACACTCAGTGAATGCTACTATTCATTCTTCGTCTACATTATCATTGTCCCGTGTATCTGTCCTATCATTATCAACTCGTCATGTAAAATACCTTACTCGTGGTTTACTTATTGTTTATATAGTTGGTAAAACATTTGGTGACGTTGGTGATGTCAGTGTATCTTTTATAGCACCAGTATTTGGAACTGAACTAGCCTTAAGTCCTACCATAGTGAGTACATTTTGGTATAATTCCTTTATAATATATTTAATTAGATTGCTGTTATCTTATGGTTTATATTGCTTTATTATTTCTTAAGTTAGGTAATGTTAAATTGGGTCAACTTTGAATAAATGAGCTACGTGAATTAAGTGAGAAAACAAGCTTATCAATCTTTTTTTTCCAGCTAATTACAAAAAAATTGGTTGTTGCATCAGTCAAAGTTGTATATGCTGGAAGTTTTCTACATAATCCTTACATAAATAATTGTGTTTTCACTTCCGTACACTTGTTTTGAATGTTGATTTTTGATCAATAAGTTAGCTATAAGCAACGTAGTAGCAGCATCGATGTGATAGTAAGAAAAGACTAGTGACAGAAAATACGATTGGAGAAAAAAGAAATGGTTCCCGGAGTAGTATTATAAGTTGATCCTAAGATTCAAAATGTAAAGTAAAATAGTGGATGTATCTGAGCCGTCGAGACTGATTCTGAACCATTCCACTTACCGCGGTTATCTCACGGACCCCAACCAGGTAGTCTTCACCTACTTACACGACTCAGTTCTACAGTTAGTGACTATATTTGATGATGCCATATATTGGTTTGGTTGCCTCTTTATTTCGTCCAATCTATTATTTGAGGTAAGTGGGGTAGTTGGGCTTGCGTAATACACATTCCAGCCATTTCAGTCGATGAGGATCCATTGTTTTATCAACCGATTTAGTATGTTTGTCTCGTACACTGCGTCCAACTTCATCATCGGTTACTCGGTGGTCTCAATATACGCGAACAATGCTTCAAAAATATATATGATCAAATGCTATTAACATACAAATACTCCCCATTCACATAGGGTACATTTCAAAGCCATAAAGTAGAGCAGAACGAACTACAGCTCAGCATACTTATCTTTTGGTTGGCAGTCTGGCATTTCTACACCACAGTTGACTTGAAATGTATATTGTGTACTTACAGAAATGGTCATTTATATTGTTAATTTAATCGCTGGTTAATTTTTATAAAAATATTGTTTGGGTAGATGTCTTTTTATATTAACTTCTTATCATAACTTTACATTAATGTATAAACCAATCAAATCGGTGCAAATTACTTATTAGACAATCAATCAACTAAAGTTTTATTATCAGAATAGGGGTTTGTGGAGATTGTAGCAATTTAATAATTGAATGCATGAGTCGATTTAAGCTAGACCACCATGGGAAACTTAGAAGCACTGGACAGCTGTTTCGTTCTAGTACAAGACTCCTCAGCAGTGTGCACTTACGACCCCGCACACGGGACTCGAACCCGGGACCTTCAGTCTCGCATGAAAATACCTAACCTCTAGACTACTGAGCTGGCATCTACTAACAGTGTTAATGTCTACGATATTGCGCGACCGTCTATCATTGTTTTCAGTAAGTAACTACGTCAAAACAGTTTCATTGTTGCTTCATAGGCAGTACATATATACGAAGAGCTATGCAAGTAATACAGACATTTTTTACACCTTATTTTCCAGTCATTCTTATTTTTTTTACTTGTAAGAAATAAAAAAGGATTAGTTGCATATACACTTTGTCTATATCTGCTCACTAGTTTAACTGCTTATTTGAAATGATTTCTACCAACTACACAATTTGGTAATGTATTTTCCGAATTTTGAAATATCATCCATTCTCATTAGCTCTCTATATCTTCTCACTGATGAATAGACATTGAGTATTTAGTTAGTGAACCCTAATTAAAGTAATTTGATTTATGTATCAACCTACTCTATGAACTACATTTTCTCTTAACGTTGTCTGTATTTATCCTTTTTTTTAAACTAATCGCATTCATCATTAGTTAAATTAAAACGATGAGACTATTATTCTTTGGATGAACCAATCAGATTTACGATAATATGTCTTGAATTTTGGCGCGAAATCCATTCATCTTTTCGGTTAAATAGAGTTTTGGCATTATAGCTTATGTCGGTTCATGATGAAAATCCTATATCTGATTCCTAACCCTAACCATCAACTATAAATACTAATTGTAATTCTTCATACTGGTTTATAATTCTTATTTAACCGTAGTATGTAGGTGTGAACATGCTCAAGGTGTCTTTAACGTCGTTCAAAGTTCATCCATAAATTATATTCTCACCGTTAAAACTACTAGTATTTGATCATAGGTGCCTTCGAAATATTGCTCGTATATCATGGGACCATCGAGTAAGTAATACAGTTGTTAGGAAACGGGTACTAGGTAAGGATGGCAAATCAATTGATGACGTAGTGAAACTTCATCAGTTGAGATGGCTGGGACACGTGTTACGTATGCCCAACGACCAACTTCCTCGACGTGCTATGTTCAGTGGTATAGGAATAGGTTGGAAGAAATCTAGGGGCGGCCAGACCAAAACATGGCACAAATCCATGAAGTCACTGACAAGTGGTCTGAGTCATGTTGGTAGGTGTAGACTACCTGGTTGGGGACCGCGAGATGATAGCAACCGATGGTTAGAGACCCTGAATGACATGGCTCAAAATCGTTTGCAATGGCGCAGGTGCATACACTCTTTGTGTTCTCCCAAATTTTGATCTCCTTGTCTCTTTTTTTTCTCTTCCCAAATTTATTTCACTGTATTATACTCCTTAAGTAACATCTCCAAACACTAATCTTCCCGATTACTGCTTATACTCTTATTACCTCTACTACTACGGGATTTGAATCGACCACTGCATCTCTGTGCTAATGTGGTGTGGCAACTGGAACTGATGTATGTACGTACGAAGTTCTACGTTGTTGTTACTGACTGACTGAACTGACGTAAAAACTACTGTTCAATTGACTAGGAAGACTTACAAATCTTTCTTTTCATTTCCGTCTTTAGTTTTTCTCATCATTTTATTTCTTATATATAATTAATGTTAATCTGTGTTGACAATAATCATTTGATTGCGTAACTTGAATTTTTCAACTACTTTTAGGAATTATTATTTAAACACTCTGGTTTAATTCATTAAATTTGTAACCTTATGAACATTGTCAATTACCTTACCTTAGACACTTTAATTTATGGAATTCATTTATCTGTTATCTAATTGTTAACTAATCTTTACCATCACTGTTAGGAAAGTCCTACTCAATGCTTTCTCGTGGTGAGGGTGTTATTTATGAAATTAATAAGACGAAAAGTGAATGTCTGACGCTTTAAGCGACTTGTTGGACACAGAGAATTCACTTAGGGGATTTGGAAAATCCTGATTCCAAACCAATGGTGCACATGGGCTCCAGGATCCTAACGAAACAAATGACGTATGAACCAATTATTGGTCACCGGCTAACATGAGACTGTATCTTCTGACGTTGCTCCACTGCCTTATGGATCAGACTTTTAGGTCGAAGGCTCCGTGTGTGTGACCCCCTAAGAAAACTACCTGCTTCAGTTTGGGCATCTGGGTAGTATCCTAGCCCTCACACAAATTAAGTGATTTGTGTGGCGCATATGTATTCAGTGCCCCTAAATAAAAAACTTTACCATCTTTACTTGGTTTCTACTAATTTTTATCATTTATTGTACAGGCATGATCTTAGTGTAAAACTAACTGTTGAAGAAATGATGAACCAGTTAAACATAATTACTAATTCTTGATGATGTTGATAGTTTTTGTATAACCAGTTGTAAAAATGTCAGAAATCCTTATACCTAATATGTGCATTACGTTTTGAATATGATAATGTACTTAGGGAAAAATTTTTTTTTGGTGTGTAATATATTCATCATTGTTAACTCTGTGTAGATGATAATATTTTTATTATTTCCTTCAAAGTTTACATTCAACTATAACATTAAAATCAACACCAAATCACACTGATAATAGACCCCGACCATAGCTACTACCTTGACATGGTGGTCGGGCTTGCCTATCGTGATGACCCAACCGAGCTACATTGGCTGGAACATATGTTCCTGTAGGTTCTACCATGCCAGGCAGGTCGATTGGAAAACGGTAAGTCTAAAAGCAGTAACTCAAGGTCTGAGGGCGAAGTCGTACTGCTGACTGTAGAGGGGTGTGACAGCAGTAAGGTGTTACCCTCGGAAAACCGGCATCTACAGCGATGCCGCCTTCCCACAAGGAAGGAAGGGGTTAGAAAAGGTCAACCCTAAAAATGCACACCTCACCTTACCTCACGGATTTCCGTCTCCGGCGGTAAGGCTCTTTGGAGAACGGAACTAACATATTAAAAACCTCCCACGAGAAGGCCATGCGCGACCGGCCTCAAGTAGTTGTCCCCTGGGCTCTGCGGTCACGCTCCCAGGTCGTTAAGACCAACAATAATCTGATTTCCACTTCAGGTTCCTCGAGAAAATACCCTTCCACGGTATGGGCAGCCGGGAAGTAATATCAACCGTCATACCCGTACCAGCACACGAGATCAAGTTGGTCACATTCAAATCCTTCCTACACTTCCTAAAGTTGACTGACTGATCATAGACTGCACTGATAACAGAATAGCGTGATGTATTTACTAACATGAATGCTGCTTGTACTGGGACAGTCATACTGTTTAAATCTACTATCACGAAGAAAATACTTAATGTTTGTTAATGTCATTTGTCAGTTTTAAAATACCATCATGTTTTAGATTTTGTGTAATATTATTTTTAGCTATTCAAAAGTAGACAAAATGTTTGTTTGTTCTGTGAATTTGACCCTTCTATTCTTTTTTGTTTTGTTTATTTATGTCTAACTTAATTGTTTTCAATTCTCGACAGTTTTTCTTACTTACTTACTTACTTACTTACTTACTTGCTTTCATTCATTCTTTCTATTGAAGATACTCATACAACTATTGTCTTTATAGTCTATCAAATTGATTCAAGTTTTAAATTATTAATGATTTTGTATATAGAAAGAAATACGGGTAGTTGTACATGTATTTTTATGAATCATTTGAAATAAATAATAAACCTTCTGACCAACATTGAAGTTAAAGTAGAACACTACTACTACTAATACTACTACTACTACTACTATCTGTCATTAATAATACTAATGAATCTGTCTGCATAGAATTGTCTTTTTTAAGTTGTCTAGATTTTAAAAACATTTTCGTTATAATGTCTGTTTAATTTCAAAGTTGATTTACTTAACAGTAGCTTCCATCATGGAATAGTATTATCTGTGGAGAACGGTTTAGTAGGTGTCCGGTTCTAGTTTTGGAGAATCTTTAAGTAAATCTTATTTATAAACGTATACACAAGCTCCAAGTCGAAATCTTCTAGTCTCATAGTAACAAAAATTCACTTCATTTCATTGAATCGTGACATTTACAACTTAACCTGAATTACGAACGATGTAATTAACATATCTTGTCAATTGACTGTTTTTAGTATTGAACGTTTCCATGTCAGACTGTTTCACTTATTATTCAATAATCTTTTATGAACCTAGTCCATGTACTCCTTTCAATAAGGTTAGAGTAGTTATTGTGGTTCACTTGTTAAGTTATCGAATTACTGTTACTTTAGTTCACCTAGAAATTTAGTTCTTCATTGTCATTAAATTAACCCTTGTGTACTACGTATGTTTTTCCATTTTTGTTTCTTTCATTATGTTTATTATCAGATCAACAGAGCTATAGCTGTTGCTGGTGTCGGTGACTTAATCACACGAGTGGGAGTTGGTTGGCTTACAGATAGACCAGCATGTGTCGGTCGTCGTGGCTTATTGTTAGCTGTTACATGGATCATAGAAGGTTTAAATGCCTTTGCATTTGCTGAACTTAACCGATTATATGGAAAATATGCTGTAAGTCTGTAAACATTAATGCTTGTCTAACTTGATAATTTCTGTCTCTTATGCTAACCAAATAAAATAACGTTGAAATCTTGGATATAGTACTCGAAAAAGATGAAAAGGGGTTGTGTCTACGTCGTTATCATAATGATTTTGAGTCCGACCTATCATTCTGTAATCTGTACTCGTGAAGTCTCCACATTCCCATGTGAATCAAACTGATTATCAGAGTTGGTATTAAAACGACTACAGTTTTTTTCTTTATCCCTAACCATTTATGGGTTCCTGACAATCCTATTTCAATATGCGTTTGGTGTTAAGGTGGACAGTAGTGCAGAAAATTTATCGAAAAACAGCCATTTAAACAGATCCGTCTTTATAATTTCACTCATTACCGTACCTTGAGATTTTTACGACAATTGAGCAGTGTTGTAAATAAAAATATGAACCAATACATATACGGCATGCATATACCCCATCTCCTTCGGATTAACGGATTTCACAATACTCCGACCCCTTATGATGTCTTACTCAAGGTGTAGCAAAGAAAACTTCAAGTAGGTCGTTTTTTGTTACTCTGGCTTTCTCTGACGACCGACTCTGCCCGGGTTGTTTAACTCCTAAATATTTTTTTACAAATAGATCATTTTACATTCAAAGAATGTAAGTGTTTTCTACGTACTGCAGGTCAGTAGCAAATCTGTCATATAAGCTGTTGATTTCAATAAAGATGGTATAAATAGCATCATATATATCAGTAAGCTTATACAGGAATTGAGCAGGAATGGTGGCAGCAGATAACCTCGACAATCAGTTCTTATCACTGTATGCAAATATTCTTTGTTACTTTAAATTAATAAAACAGATTCCTCAGTGGTTTTATCTCAAAGGGCATTATGTTATTATTATTTAATATATTGCAATAATCAAGAAATGGAGACTTTATTTTTTGTATGCCTCAACTTGTATGATAACTAGTCTTACTTACCATTCTTGAAGGCCTTAAATCATCAAGTTCTTCTGTTCTATCTGATTTTAGGCATACCATTCTGTGTCACTATTTAATTCAGATTTTGGCATAAGTTTCCTGTGCCATAGAATTTCGATACGATGAATAAAGCAATAGACTTGTTATATATATATACATATATATATATATATATATATATATATATATAGAGAGAGAGAGAGAGAGAGAGGCAAGGTATGTTGTTGAGTCGTGAATTCATTGATTAACTGACTGTTAATTAACTCTGGCCGTGCATAAGCATTCATACGTTTTGTAGTTTGGATTAATCAAGAGTTAACTAAAACCTACAAGAGATAACTTAACTCATATGCTTCAAAACCGATTTTTAAAATAGCAGAGAAATGGCCTCTATCAAAGATCTGACAAGTTAACTATGACTGTAAACTGATATCCTATAGATTTTCTGGTTTTAAGCGTTTTCGATTGTTGATTTCTCAATTATTGTGGAGTATATCAATATGAAACTTAACTTGTTATTCAACCATGCAAAGAAATTAGATCACAAAGGATTATGTAGGGAAAACTGCTATATATATCAGTCAATTGTGTTGTATATTTAAAACATTCTCAGCACAAATTCGAAAAGCTCGTTTGGATTTTGCCAACTTACGTCACCTGTGGCGAAGGCGAGATATCTATCTATCAAGTAATGAACGAGTATACTGCGCAGCAGGCAGTTCGTTCTGCTCTATTTTACGGCTACGAAACGTCGCCATTAAGAGTAGAAGATACTCATAAGCTACTAGTATTTAACCACAAATGCCTTAGAAATATTGCTCACATCTTCTACGATCACCGGGTAAGTAATAGTGAGGTCAGATGCAAGGTATTAGGGAATGATGATGGTAAACCAGTTGATGAGGTTATGAATCTTCATCGACTGAGATTGTTGGGCCACGTGTTACGTATGCCTGAACACCGATTACCACGACGCGTAATGCTGATTGGTGTTGACGATGGTTGGAAGAAAGTTAGAGGCGGTCAAACCAAAACGTGGCATCAGTCATTGGAGTCATTAACCTCTAGTCTGAGCCATGTTGGTAAATGCAGATTACTTGGTTGGTGTCCGCGTGACTATCCGTTATATCTCAAGGGGTCGCCGATTAGGTGGGCAGTGACTTATCGATCGGATCAAGGGATTCAGAATCTCGATAGACTATTCTGGTCCGTTGTCTCCAACTCCGCTAACTCGATCAAGAAGTCTAGGTGAGGCGTAGAAAGTGTATCCTACAAGCAAACACCAGATATCAAGTCAGGTCAGGCACACAAATCAAGCGTATTTATGCAAATATTTACAATCGATATTGTCATAGTAAAATGTTTTTAAACATTAATCAGTGAGTTCATTAATTGACCGCTATTTAACACTTAATCGATAGTTCATCAATTTACCCCCATACAAATATTTAAACATTTAATCGATAAGATAAAATTAAATAATATGAGTTTTGGGGATCTATCGTCCCCGTGGATTCAAAGGCAGGATCAGATTGCAATACTTGTCCAGCTCAGTTGCACCCAATTTACGAAGTAGCAGCCGCATTTTCCAAGCATCAGCTTGATTGGCGAAATCAAATTTAAATAGATCTTCATAACGCCTGAACCACATCTCAAAAGTAACATTAGCATCAGGATCGTAATGGAATTCAGTTATGCTATTTGCGATGCCATCTACCGATGGTGCCGTGGTTGAACTAGACGTGCTCGGCTGTAAGGGAGGCGTAACCTTGGTCTCCATCAACATTTGCATCAATTTCAGCTGCTGCTCAAGTAACAGTTCAAGTTTGGAAGGGTCCATTATTGAAAAACCACCGCCGCCAATTTGTTATGGTTCGTTATTGCTTGAATGTGATTACTGATTCGTCTTACTCGAACGGAACGAAGGATCAATGATTCAGCGACTCGATAGCTATTCTGGTTCGTTGTCTCCGACTCTGCTAACTCGATCAAGAAGTCTGGGTAAGGTGTAGAAAGTGTATTCTACAGACAAACAGCAGATAACAATGGTTGGAGACTCTTGTTAACATGGTTGAGAATCGATCACAATGGCGTCGATGTATACACTCTCTGTCTTCCCTTAAACTATGAGATTAAACTGGCTTTATATCTTTCTTTCTACGAACTAATTCTTTCTTCCTATACTATATCCTTATTGCAATCTTTCTTTTATATATTACCACCTCTGAATTAACTACTTTTATGAATCCCGTGTTCGTCTTGTTGTGTGAATGAGGTATGATAACTTCGACCGATGCATATATGCGCCTGGTCCTACGTTGTAGTTGACTAACTGACCGACTGATATTTAAAACATATTATCATTTATTGACATTAATTAATTAAGATTTTCACCTTTCAACAACAAATTTATTAATTTCCTCTTTAACTTATACCTACTTGATTGATCATTCAACTGTTTCATCTTCAAATTGATTTAAGCAAATAATTCAACAAATACCCTAAAAACCAACCTCCTTTTTCATCTTTCACTTTTATCATACAACTATGTTAATCAAATAATGATCATTATAAAAAAAGTACCATGTTATCTCTCTCTGTGTGTGTGTGTGTGTGTGTTAAGTACAATCTCAATTCTACTATAATTGCCAAATTGTTTCAGTAATACAGATCATTGATCAGCTTTTTTTTGATTTAAAGAATAGGTGACTTGTATCAATTATATTTTGGTTACAAAAAACAAGCGTTTAAAATAAAACTTTGTACACATTTTGTCTTAATCAATGTAGCTATAAAACAGATAGATGATGTGGTTACTAGTACAATCTCAAATAGACTAGAGTAGTTGGGGATTATTGAGTAAGGAATGCTGAATTTAGACTTATGGTATCATGTAAATATGACAAATCGGTGAATGAATTAGTGAGGTCTTCACCGACTACGGTGGTTTGTCATATTGAAGTTATCTACACATGATGTTCATTTATCAATAAAGATTGACAAAAGCTTATTCTTGAATATTATCAGTCAGATTAATTTAAATCCCTACGAATAGTGAAACGTTATTGGTAAGCAAAAAATGTTCAGAATAAATATCAACTGCTAAACATTTACAAATCGAAATAGCCATCAGCCAACACCGAAGTCAGAATCTTCAATGTATACGTCAAAAAAGTTCTATTGTATGGAGAACTACCGCAACCATTATCAAGAGAGTATAAATATTTATAAACAATTGTCTACGCAAGATACTCCATGTTCGTTGACCGAAAACCATCATCAATAGACTACTATAGGAGAAAACAAACCAGGTTCCATCTGAAGAGGAAATTAAGAAAAGACGTTAGAGGTGAATAGGCCTAACTTGGAATCCTTATGGGAAGAGGAAAAAAGAAATTGTAAAGAAGAGATTTCGTCGGGAATCGGTAACAAACATCAAAATAATCAATAGCAATTGTAAAGAACTGGAAACGATTCCCCTAGTTAGAGTTTGTTGGGGAATCCTGTTGGGTGGTCTATGCTCCTCCTTGAGGGGTAACAGGCGTAAATAAGTAAGTAATTTATTGGGTCAATGAACTGAAATGGGATCATAAAACTAACTGAAGAAGTTGATTTCAATACTCATATCTCACAATATTATTTATCAATTACGAACTTTTCATAATAAATGCCCTGATACGGCCGAGAGTGGGGAGTCCGCTCTCCCTCTCCAAATGCTCTCACATGGCCACGCGTATATAGCCTCTGTCAGGGAAGTCCTATTCACTGCCTTCTCGTGGCGGGGGTGTTGTTTACGAAAATGAGAGGACGAAAAGCGAATGTCCGGCGCTTTAACCGGATTCCAAACCAATGATGCACATGGGCTCCAGTATCCTGCGGGAGCAAATGGCGTATGAACCAATCGTTGGTCACTGGCTACCATGGGACTGCATCTCCTTACGATACTCCACTGCCTTGTGGATCAGACCTTTAGGTCAAAGGCTCGGGGTATGGCCCTAAGAGAACCACCTGTTTCGGTCTGGGCACCCGGGCAGTATCACAGCCCTCACATATATTAAATTAGATCTGTGTGGCGCATATGTACTTGGTGCCTCCTTGTATCAATATCTGTGTTCAAATAAAATAAATCTTAGTTTAAATCGTTATTGTTATATACTTATTTACAGTACCAATTACATTACACTTAATTTCGTTTTGAACCTAGTGAAACTACTAAAATTGTCTGGTTTATTTCACAATTTTAGATCTACAGGAACATTCCGATAATATTGCATAGACTAGTCTATGGAAACGGAGAAATAAACTAGCATTAAACACTATGATGAAGTGATAAACTAAAATGTTCGCTCAATATGTTTACACTTGTAAATCATAGTCAGTAGCTCAACATTAGACGGAACTGGTTATTGATGTTTTCTTGCAAGTTACATGTTTACATCCTCTAATTTTTAACACAATTCATTGCCATACCCTATGTAAAATGGATTTCAATTGGTTAAGTGATTAATTCACGTTTATGTGTACACACATCTCTCTGTTCAAATATAATAATAATAATGTTTTGTGTGTAATGTATATTTCCATTTTCTAGATTATTACTGATGTTAATGGTGATGTTGTTGACAGTAATGGTAAATCATTACTAATAGCATCTTATTTTATATGCTCTGCTATTCATGGTATATGTAGTGGAACTGCAATGACTCAAATGGTTGTAGTTTTATGCGATTGGGTTGGCTCATCACAATTAGCACAATCTTTAGCAGTAACTATGGTTATTTTAGGGTTAGTTATATCACCGGGACAATTTTTAATGGGTAAGTGTTATATAATACTGTTTTTAAATCCTTATTATTTTTTTTTGAAAGAATTATGATGAATTTCCAGATCATGGTCTAACAAAGTGTGACGTTTTTTTTCCTAGAACACATTACGGAATCTATTCATTGAAAAGCTTAAACTTGACTGTCATGTAAATCAGTAACATCCTTTAGTGGTCTGGTTGGATTTCTTACAACTTATCGTCTACTTGTATTGAATATACTGACTTCTATATCTTATCCAATAGAGTTGTGTTTTGATTGAAATATATAAATTCTGTGGATAATAGGAGTTTAAAAATCTACAAGCCAAACATTGGTGATAGTAATCTAACTCAACAATATAAATTCCATGATTCTTCATATTTAAATGAATGGAATAGTAACATTGAGATGGTGGAGAAGATTTGTAGCTCAGGTGGATGATTTTGATGGAGTTTTGTTCTCTGAGCTGGATGGTTTGGTCGTGGGAGCTTTCATCGTTCTTCTGAACGACATCATCAGCACAAACTTCAGATAGAAGTGAACAATGATAAATTTAAGGTCAACAAGAACCAATCAACATCGAGGTGCACAGAACAAGCTGTGAAACACATATGGAGAAAATCGAACACTTCACTTCTATCTGAAGTTTGTGCTGATGATGTCGTTCAGAAGAACGATGAAAGCTCCACGACCAAACCATCCAGCTCAGAGAACAAAACTCCATCAAAATAGTAACATTCAAATATGTGTCTGAATGTGAGATCTATAGATTCTTTACTTCATGATAAGTTATTCAATTCGGTGTGTAACAAGAATAAGACTTTGCAATCTCTCCCATCTACCATCAGAATGTGTTCAATTAACATGGCATCTTTTTGTTCCTCTTGATAAGCATTCATTGAATGATACTGAGTCGATAACTTTATCATCTTAGTAATTAACTGACCAAACTGTCATTTTTACTATGAAGCGAATTATTGTAATTGAATATGTGTGACATGAGTTGATCATGAAGTAAGTAATGTAAATAAAAATGAGTAATGCTGTTGCATTCAAACGATGTCTTTAATTAAACTACACATATTATTGTTGGTTATTATCGTCACATGTTCTCTCGATTACGTTTCCTATCTATGCATTAGTTATAAGTTATTATAAAACCGATCACGGGACTGAAATAAATATAGAAAAAATACGATATATTTCTGAGTTTCTTATTATAACAACAAAGAATGATTGATGATTATTGAATATATGATATATAGCTCGGTGGTCTGACTGACTCAGTGACCTAATGGTTAAGCGCTTGCTCGCGAAACCGATAGGTCCTCGGTTCGAATCTCGCGAAGGGCGGAATCGTGGATGCACATTGTTTTGTCCCCAAATGCCCTGGTATGGCCGAGAGAGAGGTGGACCCGCCCTCCCTCTCGAAATGCTGTCACACGGCCACGCATGTACAGCCTCTGCCAGGGAGGTCCTACTCATTGCCTTCTCGTGGCAGGGGTGTTGTCTACGAAAATGAGAGGACGAAAAGCGAATTTCCGGCGCTTTAACCGGATCCCAAACCAATGGTGCAAATGGACCCTCCCTTGTACCAATATTTATGTGTTCAAATAAATAATAAAGGAGGCACCAAATAGATATGCGCCATATAAATCATTCGATTTGTATGAGGGCTGGGATACTGCCCATGTGCGCAAACCGAAACAGGTGGTTTTCTTAGGGTACCACACCCGGAACCTTTGACCTAAAGGCCTGATCCACAAGGGAGTTGATCAACGTCAGAAGATGCAGTCTCATGTTAGCCGGTGACCAATAATTGGTTCATACGTCATTTGTTTCCTTAGGATCCTGGAGCCCAAGTGCACCATTGGTTTGGATTAGGGGTTTTCTAACTCCCCTCACTGAACTCTCCATGTCCATCAACCCGGATAAAGCCACAGACATTTACTTTTCGTCCTCACATTTTCTTAATCAACACCCCTACCACGAGAAGGCAGTGATTAGGACTTCCCTGTTAAAGGTTCTATGCACATGGCCATGTGAAAGCATTTGGAGAGGGAGAGCTGACTCTTTTCACCCTTGGCCATATCAGGGTATTTTGTGGCTGGAATACAATAATGCCCATATATTGGTTAAACATTATAATTCCCATCACGTTGAACAAACTCAAAATGTATACACTGAACACCCCTAGTTATTTGTTTATTTTGGCATGTTGGTTGTTGTATCCAGATAGATTGACAATTTTTTATATTTTTTTTAGAAAATTATTTTTAAACATTAATTAATGAATCTTTTCTTATAGGTTTTGTTGCTGATTACACAGGTACATTTGTTTGGTCATTAAGAATCTGTGGTGTTATTCTTCTATGCGGTGGTTTCACACTTTTCTTAGAATTCCCAGTTCGTCGATTATATCCATCTGCAAATAATCATCATCATGATAATAACAAAAGTAAACCGATTGAACAATGTGTTCCAGTGAAAGATATTGAAGCACAAGATATCATATGTGATAATGTTGTGAATGGTGGTAAATGTCATTCATTTATTAATTCAACAATTCCTATAGATAATAATTTATCTCCATTGATTAATACAAATGGACAAATGACAAATTAAACAGTATACAAATTGTGTATCACTGTTGTTGTGTTTTGTTTTGTTTAGAATACAACACGAACACAAATCATACTCATTTATTTGTTACTATGCCTCTAGAATATGATTGAATTTAACAAACTATTACTATACATGAAGGATTTTGTCTTCTTTTTCTTCCTATATATATATATTTCAATTCATTTTCTTATTCCTGAATGATACATGTAATTGATTTCTTCTTGATCCGCTTAAAGTCCAACTCTCCCTTCCTGTTTTTTTTGGAGAGAGAGAGGGGGGTGGAAAGGAATGGTTCTACCAAACAATCCAATTATCGATTCTGTTCTCGTTATATGTATATGACTTATTTGTGCCTATTCAATAGTGGTTGTTTATTTTTAATGATAATAATAATAATCACTAACCAACCCGAGTTATTTTCTCCACTTCTCTTTTTTTTGTTTTACTTAAAAAAAACAAACCCTCCCCCCCATTACATAATTTTTTGTTGTTGGTAGGATTATTGTCTAAATTTGTCTATGCTGATTTCATTCAGATAGATAGTTAATGTTATAAATGTATACCATACTATTCTATGTATCTGAAATGACCTCTATTATTATTTTGCTTACAGTAATCTTAGGTATATTATAATCTTTATTATTATTATTATTATTATTATTATTATTATTATTATTATTATTATCTTAACATTACGAATCACGCATAACTACTTCCATTAGTCGGTATGGATTTTTATGTACAAATAGAATATGCCTTCAACTTTATCCTTTAACTCTCTGTCACACGGACTGACACACACACATTCACACGTACTACACACAAAATGCACATCAACACACATAATCAGTTGTGTGATTTAGATTAATTCGACTTGATTTTATGTAGACATCATCAATGGATTAGTAATAATGAAGTGAAGTCATTTTGTATTATTATTATTATTATTGATGGTGTTGTTCCTTTTCGTTTTTACCGGTACGTCCATTCGACGATTGTAAATTTGTATTCATCATTCTGTTTTTATTATTAGTGACAGTATGATTTGTAATATTATTGATAATAATAATAATAATACTAATGTTACTGTATGTAACATGTTAAATAAAAGTATGATTTCATTATCGAAAAGACAACTTCATTGGTATGATTCAATTTTTAGATTAAGTAACTTGTTGAAATTACCTTGTGAATTGGTGCGTATTTAAGAGTCAGATTCTACAGTTCAGTTTAGTAACTATGGGAAGCTTTTTCAACTTTTCCGAATTACTAGCAACGAAAAGTTTGATATGGGTGAAATGATCTGTAGCTAATAACACTCGAATTAGTGATATAATATTGAAAGGAGTCTCGGTCGATGAGTCGTGTTTTTCGAGCAAGCAGTCAGCTACAACGTAGGACAAGGCACATATATGCATCCGTCCAAGTTGACATACCTCATTAGCACAACAAGATCAACACCGGATTCATAGAAGCAGTTAAGCCCATGGTGGTAATATATAAAAGAAAAATTGCATATAAAGACAACACTGGAAGAAAGAATTAGTTCGTAGAAAGAAAGATATGAAGCAATTTTAATCTTAATTTAAGGGAAGACAGAGAATGTATACATCGACGCCATTGTGATCGATTGTCAACCATGTCAACAAGAGTCTCCAACTATTGGTTACGATAGTCATGCAGACACCAACCAAGTAGTCTGCATCTACCAGCAACGCTCAGACTACAGGTTGGTGACTTCAACGACTGATGCCACGTTTTGGTTTTACCGCCTCTAACTTTCTTCCAACCATCTCCAACACCAGTTAGCATTGCACTTCGTGGTAATCGGTGTTCAGGCATACGCAACACGTGGCCCAACAATCTCAGTCGATGAAGATTCATAACCTCATCAACTGGTTTACCATCATCATTCCCTAATACCTTGCATCTGACCTCACTATTACTTACCCGGCGATCGTAGAAGATGTGAGCGATATTTCTAAGGCATTTGTGGTTAAATACTAGTAGCTTACGAGTGTCTACTACTCTTAATGGCGACGTTTCGTAGCCGTAAAATAGAGCAAAACGAACTGTCTGCCGCGCAGTATACTCGTCGTTTTATTCATAGACGAATATCTCACCTTCGCTATATGTGACGTAAGTTGGCAAAAGCCGAACGAGCTTTTCAAATCCGAGCTGAGACTTCGTCATACGCAAATCCATTATGGTTGATCAGGCTTCCAAGCTAAGTTAAGTTTTCAACACGTTCGACTACCTCGCTCGCTGTCCTTAGTTCAGGTGTTGATGTAGACCAGTCCTGAAGCAACAACTTACATTTGTTAGGGGAGAAGCGCATCCCAAACACTCTGGCGTTCTTACTCAGTGCTTCCAAAAGACTGCATTTTATCAGGGTCTTCACTAAACAGGATTATATCATCTGCATATTCTAAGTCGATAAGTGGACCTCATAGAATGAAGTCAATTACTGAAAATTCAGTCGACGAGAGCGTTATTTCCATTAGTAGGTTTATGCTGAATTTAAACAAAAATGGAGAAAGTGGACAGCACTTGAGGTTGCAAAAGCAGATGACAGTTTGCCATAAGCTCTGACTTGACTGGTAGTGTTCGAGTAAAGAGCCGTCACAATGTGATGTATTACCCCATCGATATAAATATAACTGTCCTGTATCCCTTGGGTGCGAAAAACTCCGATTTCTAAAGTACTACAGATCACCAGGCTCAACGACCTATCCTCTTTGTTTTTTTCGGTTTGGTAGCCAGCTTCTGTTTTGCGAACTAGGGGAAAACGTCTCAATTTCTTGGAATGAATCAATTGCCGTCTATGCATCAACTGTAGAGATAAGTCTACTTTTCATCACGTCCAAATCATTGGCTTTCATCTTACTTTACACATAGTACACAACCCATGAAAGATTGACTTGGAAGAAGTAGTCTGGTTTTTTGTTCAGATCATGAATGTTTTGATTATATCTTCACCATCCACCAAATGTTAGGACACTTACACATTGATTAGAGACGATCAGTCGTATTTTTGATACTAGGACTATCTTCAATTCCTTAAACAGTATTTGCACCGACTATTACTACAGGGTATATTTGAGAAATTCAGTAATATCTTGAAAATTGTACAAAAGCCGGAGAGAGAGAGAGGAAACAACCATCCCTTCTCATCCTATTACTGTATTATAATTACCTATCTTTAAAAGAGCTATTAGAACAATCAATATAACTGAACATTATTGTTTTCAATTCATGATTTCATTGGATAATCAATAAGGTTTTTACTCTCCAGTTTATGGTAAGTCTCATTTAACCTTGACATTATTATCTGGAGTCGAATGCCGATAGTCAATTTGACCTTTTTATTCATTCGATATATAATCAGACATCAAAATATAGAATTTTTTCAACCTACAATATTCATTTCATAGTTTACTTATGGTGCAAAATTTCATTGTGAATTTGATATTTTAGAAAAAAATATTGAATTCATGAATCAATTGAAGTTAGACCAACATGGAAAACCTGGAAGTACTAAATGGCTGTTTTGTCCTAGTATGGGACTCCTCAATGGTGTTCATCTACGATCTCGCCTCGACAGATTCGAACGCAATACCTATCAATGTAGCATACGAACGGTTGACCTCTAGACCATTGAACCGTCATTCCAACAGTGTAACTTCAACCAATCAGTGAAATTATTTAATTTGTACATTCTTAATTTTGATAGCAAACTATAACACTTAAGATAAACTCTGAAAGACATTGAGTACTGGATAGTTGGAAATCCGCAAAAGTAGGTCGTTTCATTGAAAGTCACTGAACATAAACTGAGTTTTCTACGTTCATATTTAGATTAGATTTAACTTGATACAATTAGTTTTCGCTACATAATTCAGATTATTTGAACACATGAAAGAGTATTATTCAAAGTATATGTGAATGGTAATGTTCTGTTTGTTTTTGATGAATGTCAACATTATAACTCATGATTAATTAACATTTCCGGTTAATGAATAATAGTTATTCATTGCAATACAATGAGACCTATGACGCTTCTGTTAAGCAAAAAGCGAGCTAACATTGTGTTACCAGTTAAAGGCGACTCATATAGTCTTATGTTGAAATGGAGATTTCAATTAGCCATCAAGAGGATAATTTATGCAACCCTATTTGTCATTATTGAAAAGACAAGGTTTATGTTTAACCGAAAACCTAAACAACACGTAAGGGATTGTGTCTGTCAATTTACATGTATGTGCGGAAAAACGTGTATAAGGAGGAGCAATTGTGATTTTCAAGAAAGGGTGACGGAACACATACCTAAATGGCTGCAGAAATAAATGAATTCCAATGGTCAAATAAAATCACAGGATAGACAGACATCTCCCTCTATAGCGAAACATTTGATTCAGACTGGTCATAAGGTTGATATCAAGTCAACATTTGTAGTGTTATACAAAAGCGTTCAACGACATATACAAAGGTTTATTGAAGTCTTGGCTATACGGAAACTGAAACCTCCTTTATGTGTTCAAAAACAATTTGTTCTTACCTTTAACCTACCTTGTTCATACTGAGTGGTTAACACTGTGTACTATATACCTCTTTGTTACGGCTTACCTTTAACCTGTCTGGTTGACCTTTTATTTTTCATATAAAAATGCTTTGACAATTATATGTGTAACGCTTTTTTTTCGTTGTTCATTTAATTAAAATTACAATTCAATGAGCTCATCTTCGTGTACTTGTCCCTGTTTATTATCATAGGTTGGAATATGGATTAAGAAAAGGGTCACAAAGAAAGAACTCATAAAATCAACTACGTACACACATTGTTCAAGAGGGCGAGGACACACTGCAGTACACTGGCAGCACGAAAAAGTGAAGAGAAATACCTGAAGAACGGCTACCCAATCAACTTCATCAAAAAATACCAACCACACGCAGCATCAGAACCCAAGTCAAGCACAAAAATCAACAAAAGGATCACCCTACCGTACATACAAGGAATTTCAGAAACCGCAACGAGACTGCTGAAAACTTTCGGGATAGGTGTGGCACACAAACCGACAAAATCACTACAATCAATTCTATGCAAACCAAAGAATGAAATAACAAAGGAAAACAAATCAAACATCATCTACAAAATAAATTGTACCAACTGCGAAAAACACTACATCGGACAAAGAGGGCGCCCCCTCCACCTTCGCCTACATGAACATCAATTAGCAGTCAAACGCCATGATATCTCTTCACTTATATCAATACACGTGGACAACTACGGACACTCATTCGATTGGAAAAATGTGGAAATCTTAGACAGAGGAAACTCCAAAAACACCAGAAAATTTTTAGAAGCCTGGCACTCAGGTCAATCAGCAATCAACAAACATATTGAAATCAATCCAATTTATCAACCAATCAGGAAAATCATGCATATATATAAGAACAAAAATCAAAACAATGGGAGACACAACCAAAACAAAGAAGTAAACAACGACAAATTGAAGGTCAATAAGAACCAATCAACATCGAGGTGCACAGAACAAGCTGTGAAACACATATGGAGAAATTCGAACACTTCACTTCTATCTGAAGTTTGTGCTGATGATGTCGTTCAGAAGAACGATGAAAGCTCCACGACCAAACCATCCAGCTCAGAGAACAAAACTCCAAAAAGAGAAAAAATAAGTTAACAATTTCCATGAATTTTTTTCAGTTTCCGTTTGGAAAGGACAGGAGGTTTGATGGCCTGTGTTAGTCTTGGCAATGATGGTCTCTCTGTTGATCCAACTTTCTTTCGAAAGAGTCGACAAATGGAGCATCAACCACGTGCTGAGGTAATGAATTCCACTCGTTGATGATTCGATGGGAGAGTCGATAGTCAACTGATAAGTAATTTGTTTTGGACTTGTGAGCTTTTTTGAAGTATCCTCGTAAATTCTGTTTTGGAAGACAAGAAAAATGAGGGCATATTAGGTTCAAATTTATCACTGTAGTCAAGTCGTCTATCGTTTTTCGATATGACAATGGGAATAAGTTTAGCTTGGACAGTCGATAGTGTCATAAGAAGGTGACATAGTTCTGATAATCTTTGTCTTCTTATTACACTATTGAAATT